GGCATTTCTTTGACAAATCTCAGCAGCCCGGCATGACTTACGATGCATTGAGTACCAATGCTTGGGCGAACACAGGTGTGTAGACTTTGGGCCAAGAGTCCAGTTTGGCCAGCATCTTTACCAAAATAATAGGCACTTGAGACACGTCCAGCCCTGAAGCGTTTATCTCGATGCCCAAGCATCTCAGCGGTTTAAAACCTGTCCGCCACTGGAGGCCCACTGGTATGTGTCTCGGGGAGGGGATACTCCCGCTAGTCAACCACCATCCCACTGCCTGTGTGACCAATTGATGCGCATTTCCACAGCAATTTGGAGGCTCTGATGAGGACGACGAGGTCGTTGGCAAAAAGGATGGTTGCAGGTATGGCAATTGGGTCGGGTGCACCTGGTCAGGTTCCACTGTGAGGGGTTCTATCGAGGGGTCTTTCGTAAGGAAGGACACTATGGCTTCCATTGTGAAAAGGTAGAGGGGGGCTGCAAGTAGGTCCCCCTGGCGTACCGACCTGGACATCTTGTAGGTGCGCGGATATGGGTCCTCGGCAGGCCTAATGGGCCCCCTGCAGCATATGTGACCGCCCTAAGTGAAGGCGGGAATAACAAATCACGAGAGGCCCTTGGCTGTCAATTTCGCATTTGGGGTCCAGGCAGCTTCGTCGCGCCAGTTGGTTGAAGGGAAACACAGTCCCAGCAGCGTGGAAATTCCCAGGCCTTCTAGGCCTTTCCGAAAGCACAGGCCCTGGGCGAGATTCGCAGCCCCATACACAGACAGTTGGGAGGCCCAACCGAATGAGTCCCAGTAGCTGCACCAGAGGCGCAGCATCCTGGGGCCTACCAGAAGCTTCTGGGCCCAGGCCAGTCCAGCCAGGCTGCTGAACGAGGCAGGCTCTTTCCATATAGGAAAGAGCTCGTTGCCTGGCCAGCGATTCGGGCACTCACATGCTGGCGGCAGCGCTGCTGGAGCTGAAGCTCGTGGGCTGCTGCTAGCGCTGAGCGGCGAGGTGCAGGCACGTGCGGTCGTGCAGGGAGCAGGGCGCTGCTGAGGGCAGTGCCATAGCCCAGCCTCCATAGCTGGCAGGGCTTGGATGTACAGTGAGGCGCAGGGGTGGTCTTTGAGTGTACAACAAAGGGAGACGTGGGAGAGAGTCAAGGGGGAGAGAGAAGGATGATGATGATGATGATGTGAGGGCACATACCTGGTATTGGCGATGGTTCTGCACGCGTGACATCTTCAAGTACTTTGAGTGCTGCTGACGTCAACAGTTGCATTTTCAATTAGTAGGCTAGTAGTAGCTGTGTAGGGAGTAGGCTGGGCGCCAAGCGCCAAGTAGGGAGATAGAGACTGGATACCTACGTTGGTGGTGGCGAGAGCAAGCTCTCATTGACATCGACTTTCAGTGCTACGATTCTCCATTGGTGTTATATTGGTGCAATGCTGCTTCCTGAACACTGTGTTACGATTTGGCTTTCAATGCGATTCTGCAATCTGAATATTGTCATCTTGCTTCTGTTCATTTTCCTTGCATAGGGGTCACAGAGGAAGCCATTGAGCTGGACTCTACTGTGCACATGGTTATGGAGCACCCTAACCCAACGCCTGAATCTGGGACCAATTCCCATTTTTCCCATGCACTGCATGGCTCTGGCTCCTAAAGTTCTAGTTGACCTGATCATACGCTTTTTCGAAATCACTATTCTGAGAGTTTCACATCTGCGAGGATGGTTGATGGTTGGCCTGAGAAAATGCTATTCTGTTATTCAAGCGGGCTTAGATAATTTTGTCATTATTCCAGACAAGAGAACAACAGAGAGACAGAGGCGCTCGACATAAGTGTTTTGCACTGTCTAGAGTTCGACATCTGCGAGTGGGTTGGCAGTCAGCATCCATGAACACGTTCTGGTGCATTTGATTGTTAATGTTCGCATTACTCGATTAAGGTTTGGTTTTACAGTTTTACTGTATTCGCATTCCTCAGTTTTGGTAAAGATTCGAAACTCTCAGCTTCTGATTAAACACACACCACGGGAATATTCAAATGCGAAGTGGAGAGAGAAGGGTTCCTTGCAAGCAGCGCTTGGACATGGGTCATCCATAAGAGATGCGATTAGAGTTCATTACACACAATGGCCCTCTCCGTTCGGTGTCTGCTGTCAACATTTTGGTGTTCTCCTTCTTCAGTGTTTGCCATCCAATTCTGCAATCATTGTTTTGCTTTCTTCATATTTTATTACTTTCGATTTAATTTCATGTTTGGTTCGGCGGCCAGAGCATGCGGCCTAGTGCGAAGCGTGTGAGCCCTTTCGGAGTTCGCAGCCTTAGTGAGACTTGAGGCCGGCTTGCTCACACCATAGCAAAGAAGTAGAAACTAGGGTGTCAATGGGCAGGCAGGAGGAGAATCCGATAACATCAATCAGTTTTTTTTTTAGTGAGACTTGAGGCCGGCTTGCTCGCAGCATAGCAAAGAAGTAGAAACTAGGATGCTCGAACAGTCGTGAGATACGTGTTCAAGCACTGTGCACGCTGAGCGTACAGATAGGAGAGCGGCGCAATAGTCAATCAGTTCGAAGGACAGACTAGTCAGCACACTCGTAGATCACTACCGCACCGGTCATCAGCTACTCAACCATTGCCATGGCTTCTACTCCTTGCTTACCATATCTAGTCGTAGGTCACATCCACCTTCATTGCATAAGACCGCATTCATTCATTTCATTCATATGACTAAACGACACAACAAGACTTCAAATCATGGAGACTCCACAGTAGTAGACATCTTACAAGCGCAGAGACCCCGCACTGGTAGACGATTCCACACAGGAGATAGGAAAAAAGTAATAACTCCTTTCTTTTTTTTCTTTTTTTTTTTCTTTTTTTTTTCTTTTTTTTTGCCAAAACAGCCCGATTGAATGCTAGAGGTGCTGATAGGAGCAGACACCGCTAGCATGGTCGGGGAGGCTCCATCTATTGGTGGGGAGCAACACCTGCTGGAAATCGGGTCCAGCGTCCCTGTACACAAAAGTTTATCATAAAGCGTGCCACGTGTCACAACCTAAGGATCCTAATCAGCTGGTATGTGGACGCGTAGGCACACAGTTTTCGTCATGATGAACAGCATCAATCACCCACTGCCCATCTCAATATGAGAAAATCATTGTTCCTATTCCGCCGCCCTCATCATATCTTTTATAAAACCTTACAGCACTATGAGGGGGGGGTAGCCAGAATAGAGAATTAGAGAGTCTAACATACCAAATCCGACATTCCAAAAACCAAAATTCACCCAGTGGCAGCACATCACATCTGTCGGAATCGCAGGTTATACATACCCAAATTGGATTTATCCCCAGAGCATGAGTTCGCGCCCCACCCTAAACTACTCTCCTACCACCCAAAGACCATTGAGCAGCAGAAGCAGAAAGGGCATTCAGAGCAGGCCTTCCTTGAGAACCCAGAAACCTAATAGCCACGTGGCAAAGCCCTGATGGGCCGCTCAACAGAAATCGACAGCGCCACGTGGCATATCGCCTCATACCCCGTTAGCACGTGGCCAGAACTACCCTTCTAAGATAAGCGAAACTACTGTCTAGCCCCCCCCTCGCGCACCCATCGCACCCCCGACTGTCCCCACACCCTTCCAATCTGTTGGGCGGGCCATTCAAACTGCCCCTTCGCCCTCCCGTCAGATCATCAACAGAATTGCAAGGAAGAAAGGGCAGTGGGGGAAAGAAGGAGGGGTAGACACAAACAGGAACCCCTACCACACTTACCAAACCGCCATCGATGATATTGTTTATGTGGTTGTCGTTGTTGTTGTTAGTATCATCGTTGTTGTCACCGGTGTTATTATCGCAATCCGGCATGCAGGGGCTCTCGATTTTGTCATTTGCACCAGTGCCGTGCTCAACAATCGCAGTATTGCCGGCGCCCATGATCCCTGCATCGTAGTTGTTGTTGTTGTTGTTGTTGTTGTTGCTGTTGTTGTTGTTGTTGTTGTTGTTGTTGTTGTTGTTGTTGTTGTTGTTGATGATGTTGTTGTCGGACAAGCCCAGGCTGTCAATCCCTATGGCTTCGCCCCGGACCTGCATGACCACGTTATTATTAGTTGCATTTTTATCCGTAACGAGGGCATTATCGACACCAGTTTGACCTTCCTCCAGCTCGTCTCCACCGGTGATGCATGCATTGGAGTAGTCCTCATCTTCCGTATCGATCAAGTGCAAGTACCAATCCTCCTCCAGCGCTGCGTACACATCCTGCCCCTCCTCAAAGATGTCATTGCAACACCGCTTCAGAGCCTCCAGTTGACCATCCATGCGACCATCCGTTTGCAAGTCCTGCAACTCGTAGACAATCTGCAACATGTTCGTCATCACCTCCCGATACGGCGGACTCAAAGAAGCTGCCCCCCCAACAGCCTCAAATCGAACTCCCAGTTGTGATCTCAGTACCTCCACCATCACCTGTAATCGAGAGCGAGCACCTTGAATGAATATAAGCCAGTCGGTGGCCCCGCGCTGTTTGTCCCCCATCGAAGCCATCTGTATACCGCGACAGAATTCGCGCCGACGATCTCTCACGCTCCCTACCATCCCCACATCTAATGGGACTGCCACGTCAGCGTCACCGCTGACCAGGGGCAGGAAACGCAGCTCAAGCTTCCCACGATGACCCACGCGGGCGCCCGATCGCATGGAAGGCAGCCGGGCCCTGCCGGCTGCGTCCACGCAGAGTGTTAGCGCACCTTAGCGCTAATTTCCCGCCGCTTCTCCGATCCCACCTCCGTAAAGTAGCGTCATCAGGGGCTACTGGATCAATTAGGATATCCATACCAAAGGGGCAGGCAGGAGGAGAATCCGATAACATCAATCAGTTTTTTTTTTTTTTGAGACTTAAGGCCGGCTAGCCCGCTGCATGGCAAAGAAGTAGAAACTAGGGTGTCAATACCAAAAGGGGGAGGGGGAGGATCCAATAAGATCAATAATAAGGTTTTTGAAGTGCAAACCTGTCACACAAGTCCCCATGGCCAAGCTGTCCACTTGTTCCTCGTCCCCAAGAGAAGACATTGCCATCTTCGGTAATGGCCACTGTGTGTCTCCAGCCGCAACATACAGTAGCCACTCTCTGTGAACAGAAAAAAAAAAAAAAAATCACGATAACAAACAGGCAAAGGCAGAGAGGCAACACATCTCCGTTCCATTCACTTACAACGAAAAAGGATGGGGAGAATAGACTCAACAGTGTTCTTTTTTTTTTCTTTAAAAAAAAAAAAAAAAACTCCCCCTGTAATGCTAGTGGTTCTCAAAAAAGATTGAGCACGTCCCTAGACTCTGAAGGGGTTTGGGGCCATGGAAAAAGGGTTTACCAGCAAGGCAAAGGAAGCGGAAAAAGGCACCCTATCAGGAAGAGTGGTTTATGAGAAAAGAATGCTGAACTGTACACAGTACTACACACACTATCAGGCAGTGCAAGCAGAGTGAGATGGCCTTACACAATACACCCTAAGACATAAACCTTACAGGACAAGAAATGCCATCTCGGGAATGTAAAAAGCAAACGACGGCTCATTGTTATGTGATATACGTAGCTACCGTCTTCACCCGAATAGAACGCCTGGCCATTATGGCCGTATTTGGAGCAATTTTCGGTACAGATACAGCTGTAATGACCGGGCGTTCTATTCGGGTAAACACGGTAGCGGCTTAACAATGTTCTTTGTTCACAATCAAAATTGAAAGTTTGAACACATTTAAAAGAGACCCAAACTCCCCAAAACAAAGAATGGACGTGAACGGAAGGGTTTCTGTATCCGCGAAACAAAATTCAATGAAAAAAGCGGCGAGTGTGAGACTGTTCGGTCAGACTTTCACCAACTTATCAGGAGGGTTGGGCCCTGTCAGTCTGCACAGTATGCATTTGACTGATGATAAGGACTCTCCACCTTGCCCATAGCTAGCAATACCCCTGAGAACAGTGATCAACTTTACTCATACCAACAGCTTGCCATGAAGGAGGGAGGGGGAGGGGGGGCGCACAGGAAGGGAAAAAGGAGAGGGACGGGAAGGCAGCCCATAGGCGGGGGAGAGGGGTACGGGTAGGGGTAGGGGAGGGAATACGAAAGGTTGGCAGGAGCAATCTTACCATGTCTGCCAGAGATTGGATCAACTGTGGACTACACTGGTCTATATTATTGCCAATCCCTATCTGCCCAAACTGCGCCAAGCAAGAACATCAGCAAATTTCTGTTCTGTTAGTAACTCCATTATGATAATGAAGTTGATATCACAACCATAGCCACAAAATCGCCAACCTATGCAACTGTCCGTCGAGTTGTTTGTAGAAAAGAAAAGGTTCCCATTATTTCTTGTTTTTAGAAGTTCTATCATCTATGTGCTTTGTAGAGCATAGAACCCCCATTAAGTTGTTTGCCAACGACCGAAAGGTTAACCATGGTTTACAAGAGTACCACCGAGGATGATACACAGGGGATCCATAAATACACGTAGGGTCCCACCCATATGCCATTTATTTCAGTACACATCTTGGCCAGGTACCACAAGTTGAAACGGAAAAATAACTAGATTCCCACTACATTGACCGTAGAGACACAAACCTCACCCCTGCCAACGGGGGGGGGCTCACATTTAATGGACACAACAATGCAACAGTAGAATCATTACAACGCGAAAGTAGAACTGCTGTGTCTCAGCCGCTGCATTACATACATTTGTTTGCAAACTTGCCACATCCAGCAATGCACCAGCTGCACCACTATCCCCAAAATATCTCTCTCTCTCTCTCTCTCTCTCTCTCTCTCTCTCTC